TGCGCATGCTCACCCACTAGGCCGTCCCTACAGCGCCGCCTGCAGGGCTGGCTGAGCAGCGACCCACACCGCACGGCAGCCGGCAGCCGGTAGTGATCAGCGCTGAGCTGACCCTGCTACTGGCTTCATTCTGCGCCCTTTGAGGTTCCAGGAAGCTGGAGGGTCGCATTCACCCAGGCACCAGCAAAAAACACTTTACAGAGATGTGTTCAACTAGGTCAGTCGTGGTGCTTCCCTTCCCATTGGATACTGGTGCTTTTCCTCAGAAGTTTCTCCTGCATCCAGCCCCTCCTCTGCGTTTCTACTGCCTTTTCAAACCCTGAGCACCAGTTAGCAGGACTCAGCAGTAACTTCCTACCCGGTGGCGGCTGATTCTCTAAGCCACTGCTCGGTGCCTGTCCCGCACCTGCTGACAAGCCAACGGATGCCCTTGGCCCACAGGTAATGGCCAGACTCCTTGCTCAGCACTCAGACCTCTGGGGATCCAGGCTTTTCAGCCCCATCTCACTCCTGCACTAAGTTCTGTGCTGTTCCCACAGCACTGCATGCTCTTTCTGGCCTCTGAGCCTTGCACATCTTGTCTTCTTTTCTGGCTGGCAAATTCTACCAATTTTCAAGACCCAACCCAAAACCACACCTGCTACCCTAAGGTAATCCACACTCCAGAAGTAAGGCTCTAAATTCACCCACTTTCCACTCACCTGGAAGAAATTCTGAGAAACCACCACCCCAGATCACAAAGAAAGGGGAAGAACTGAAAGACACTCACAAAGCCAAGGTCGGTTGTTGCAATTTTTCTTTTTTAATTATTACACTGAAATCCACTTGGGAGGTAGGCCCTGGTATTGTGCTGCCAATCAGAGTAGAGTGATGACCCCCACTGGACTGGAGAACTAGGTGCGGGAAGGGGGAGGAGAGAAGGGATGGAGGGGGCATTGGGGCAGGGAGAGGAGGAAGCTGGAGCCCTCCATAACCACTCAGATAAAAGATGAGGAGTTCCCCCTGCCACCTCATCCCTCAGCAACAGGGGTGGAGTGTAAGAAGATAGGGGGAAGCCACCCTTCTGGCCAAGGTCCTTCCCCAAGTCAAAGGGAAGAGACCAAGGACAGCAAACAAAGGCCAAGGAGCCCAAGAAGGGGACTAAGAGTGAGTTAACAGGTAAAGTAATTAGGGTCACCACCTCCTCTCCCCAGCCCACTTTTCACATTTGTGGTGGAAACAATTGGACTAGATAGAAAAGACCTCAAACATTTTCAAACCCCTGGGAGGGGTGGAGAGAGGAAGTGGAGTCCAGGAGTTCAGAAATTAACACCTACAACCCAAAGGCCAGCACCAAGCCGTGAAGATCCGTGAAGAGAGGAGGAGGCGCTCCCCACAGGAAGCTAGGTCACCTGCTCCGTGGGCCTCATCTGGATGTCTCCGATCTGCAGAAGGGACAAAGGCTTGAGGCAGTCAGGACACTGCCACCCTCTTTAAGGCCTCTCTGCTCTCCTCCTCTGGGGATGGCTGGGCTTCTCCATGGGGTGGACAGCCAATGCCAGACTTACCTGGACATGTGGGGGGGTGCTGAGGACATAGATGATAGCCTGGGCCACATCTTCAGGTTTCAGACACTGAGCACCAGGGAAAAGGGGGATTAAGATGAGGACAGAATGGATCCAAGTTCCCTCCCACCACTGAGGTCCTCTCCAGCATCCACATTCCCACCCCAACCCTCTAAGGAGGAGTAACGGCCTGGCTAGAAGGACAGGTTCCCTTCCCTCTGCCTTCACTTAGAATGAGGGAGGCCCCACCTTTATGTGTTCATAGGTGGCAGCTGCCTTCTCAGGGTCCTTGTCATGAAGTTTGAAGGCGAATTGTGTCTCCACCAATCCTGGAGAGATGCACTGGGCCAACAGAGAGGGCCTGCTCAGGAACTGAGCTTTGCCCAACCCCAACCCCAATCAGAGGCCAGGCTTTGAGGAGGTTGGATAGAAAGGACGGAAGCCACAGGGCCCCAGCTTCACAAGGTTGGCTGTCCCATGTTAGCAGCTGCCTCCTGGCTCCAAGGCTGCCACCGGTGATGATCACAATGATATCTACCACTTACAGAGCCCTTACTAAAAGCCAGGTAAATGTTTGACAAAATGTTCTCTCTTAAAAAACCTCATAACCTGATTATCATCTCTGTTTTACAAATGCAAAGACTGAGGCTTGGAGAGGTTGAGTAATTTGCCCAAGGTCATTCTGCCTTCAAGGGCAGAGCCCAGAGTCCTGGTTTCCTGCCACTGTGCACCTGGTTTCCCACAATCCCTTGCTTTCCCTCAGTCTCACCCGCCATGTTCCAGTCAGGCCTGCCCCCTCCTACCTCAAAGTCAGTGAAACGGGACACTCAAGTACTGAGCAGGGCCATGCAAGTAGCAGCAGAGCCCAGGAGCTCTGTGCCCAATATGCTCACAGGGGTTCTAAAGCAGCACACCCTGGACATGGGCTCCCTGGGCAGCATGTGTGGGGGTGGAGAGGGCCTGTGCCTATCCCATCCCCACCAGGGCCAGGCCACACCCTCACCGTGGCTCGGATGTGGGTCTGGGCCTCCCGAAGCTCTTGCCTCAGTCCCTCTGTCAGTGCAGTGACGGCATACTTGGTAGCACTATAGAAATGGGCCACAGACTGGGGTACCACTCGGTGGCCAGACATGCTGGGTAGAGGGAGGGAAGGGGAAAGAAGACAGTGATGCTCCCGAGAGACCAGCAGTGCCCCCTGCTGTACCAGTCAACCCCACCACCTCGATGCTGCAGGGAAGCCTTCTAAAGGGGACCTCTGGAGGCCATCCTTGCGGCCCACTAATCTAGCTGTTATTCAAGCTGCTCCTGAAAACCCTACTCTTCTAGACGTCTTCCCTACAGTGACCACAGAATCCCCTCTCTTGGTCACGCAGGCTGTCAAAAATCTCTTAATTTCACCTGCACATTCACTGATATGGTTCTATTGGGAGATCTCTGAGGGCAGAGGCCATGTCTCCCCACTCAGAGTGGGGGCTCCCCAATGATACTGTGTAGTCTTTCTTTGTACCACAAGGTGGGGTTCATTCCAGGGCCTGAGGAATGGAGAATCTCAGTGCCAGCAGAGCCCCTAGGCTTCCACTGCAAAGACAAGGGCTGAGCCACCCATTCCAGCCAACTAGGGGCTGGCACTTGACATACACTATTCTTCCCCTCACCATAATCATGCCATTGGGTGTTAACTGAGTATTAAATCCCTACTTTACCAAAGAAACAGGTCCAAAGAGGTCAAATAAGCTGCAACAGATTACCCAGCTAGGAGGGTGAGTGGTGATCTGCGCTCTAGCCCTCGGCCACCTGTCTCACCTGTTGATGTTAATGATGTGCCCATCATCCACATTCCGCTCCTTCATGGACTGGTAGGCTTCCCGCGTGCAGATGCTGAGGGCCAACACATTCACCTGCAGGCCAGGGAGAGCAATGGGATGTCTCTAGCTTGGGCCCATCTGAGCAGGTGATGGAGCCACAGAGAACCCCCAGGAAGCATTCCAAAACAGTGCCTAGGTCCTACCAAAGACCAACAACAGACCCAGGGCTCTGTGCCTTAGAGGTGCCCCTCCCCCTAAAGCTGCCAGCCCCCGCTGACAGCAGAGGCAGCTTCTCTCCCTGGGTGACCCTCAAGTTCCTGTGAACAGGAATAGAAACCCCTCAAATTCCATACACAACCTAGGAACCCTCTGTATCTTGGCTGTCTCCTCTCCAAATAGTAGAATCTCTGCCTCAGGGAACCATCTCCTTTTCTTCTCCAAATACCCTCTTCTCTGGGACAGTGCCCCTGATCCTGCTCTCTCCTAAACAGCCTCAAATCCTTCCTAAAATGGGTTTAAAAATCTCTCTCGTCAAACACACCATGGCCTCTCCCACCTTACCCAGCTATTCTCTGCTCCTTTCCTGTCCCCTCCCTTGAGACCACTAGTAGAAAAGATCTGATCCTCCTTCCTTTAACCTCTGTTCCAGCTACAGAACTAGGCACAGAGACTCTTAAGAGGGTGGGTAACTTGTCATGGAAGGCAGGGGACCTCCCAAGGGGCTTCCTGCCTTCTGCCCTCTCCTCCTCGCTCTGGCAGAGGTGACACCAAATCCCCACCACCCTTCATGGAACAGAGGCCTGAAGAAGTGTCTCTGCTCTAAAGCTCTGGCCCAGCCCCACCCCTAGCTTTACCCAGGAGGACAAGCAGAGATAAAGCTTTCAGCAGGTCCTCATGTCTCGCCTCTCCAGAAGAGACGGGACCAGCCGGGAAATTAGATGTGTGTCCTTATCAGGTGTCAGAACCAGGCATCAGGACAGAACACCCTGGGCGTGAACCTGCCACAGCATTCACAGCAGAAGAACATAGGAGGCTCTCAGCCCTGTTTCTGGTCCTCTTAGCAGTGTGGGTTTGTGGGGCAGAGAACTCAGCTCCTGAGGGCAGAAGGAGTAGGAGAAACAGATCCCTGGATGTCAGGGAAGTGAATCTCCTAGGTCTGGGGGTTAGGGATGGGAGTGGAGATGCCTCATAGGA